GTAGTCCTTTTAACTGAATTCTTTTAAATATGAATAATGTCAGAAAACCAACAACAATAACAGCAACCGCAACATAACAAACAACCATTAGAAGAGTTGGAGTTACTACGTCTCCAACATCCTGTTGTTTGTTGATGTTTCCAGCTTCACTTTCCACAGTTTGCTGCTGCAACAACTTTTCATCTGTTTCACCTGCAGAGAGAAGATCAGCTGTCAGAGAATATTTCAAACAGTGGTTTAATGTTTAGCATCTGAGTTAGCAGCATGCCGTTTCCCCTTCACGCTTAACACTAAAAGAATTGAGCAGAAGAAGCTGTGGATAAATTGTAGCTCACTGGCTTTTGTTTGTTTATTTGCCAAGTCACAAATAATCATGCAGTTTCTGTAGAGTAGAGAAATACTAGCAGCAAGCAGTTTTAGATTTTTTGTTTGTAATTTCACGCTTTTATGTTTTGGGGGTTTTATGATGTGGGAGCTGAGCGTGAGCTCTACAAACTCACCTGTGACTGTGAGGTCAATGAAGTGACTGATCTCAGTGTGAGCTCTTTTACTTCTCACAGGGTTCCTCACTGCTATGTGACACTCATACATCCCAGTGTCATTAAACGTGACGTTGTTCAGGATCAGAGAAACATCTCCATCTTTCATCTCCGGGTCCCTCAGCTTCACTCGGCCATGAAAAGATGGATGTTGGTAGTTTTCATAGAAGCGTTTGTTCCTGTAGAAGTAGACGTAGCCGTCTGTGTTCAGGTCAGGTCTGCTCCACTTCACCACTGAGATTCTTTCATCTGTAGTAATCTGACACTGGAGAGTGACGTCAGCTCCAAACTTTACCTGCACATCCTGCTGCAGAGCTGAAGGAAAGAAAATAATCTTTTTTAAATGTAACTCATTTTTAAGTTTTTAAAACATTTTTAACTGTTAACAGCACTTGATAAGAATTTGTGGCTGAAAAATCAAGACAACAGTAAAGAGCCTCAAACAGCAGTTCCTCTAATGCTCGTCAGTCCTCACAGAGCACCATGTTAAAATCTTTATGGCCTACAAAAACAAGTTTTGGTCTCTGTACCTAATTTTCCGTTCTGTAACAGCTTCGTGTGGGCAGAGACATACTTGATTACGATAATACGATCCCTAACACAGGGCTGTAGCTGCTGGCTGTCTGCTAGGCTTCCCTCAGTTAGTTGCAGTTTCTTTGGCATCAAATAAACTCCAACTATGTTTACTTGACTCTGTAAAAACCAGTCTCAAGGTGTAATTCCGTTAATTTAAATGTAATTTCAGAGTATTTTAGCTGAATTATGTTATTGTTATGTACCATGCAGGGCACTAAAATAACAGACTAACAAGTTAAAATTTTACAGGTAAGAAAGAAAGTAACTTTGAGTGTAACTTTTGGCTACTTTACTTTGTATTTTATTGTCTATTTATTTCAAAGGTACCTGATTATTGTGCAGTTTTATTGTCTATCACACTAAAAATAAATATTATACACCCTTATTAAACATAAAGCAATGATTTTAATTAAAATGCAACAGAAACATGTAAAATACTTTTTTTATTTATTCAAATAATTGCTCATTAAGAATGTGGCCAGTGTCACATTTAATGACAGTGGGATTTATGAGTGCTTGGTATAAACTGAACGTGTGCTAATCAAGTTCATTTCATTTGACTAAATTCCATTAAATCGAACATTTAAATTGAACCTATGTAACAAAATTACAAGAAAAAAAATATATATATGATGTTATATTGTTTTATGTTTTATATATATAAAAAAAAAAAAGAGAAAAACAAAAAAAAAAACAGATTCTCTTTCTTTTTTGAGTGTACTGCACTTAATTTACACTTAACACTTAATTAATAAACTTATTTAAGTAAATGACTTTAAGTTTAAATAAGTTTAAATATA